TAACGATCACAACTATCATAGATGAGGTCTTGTAATAACTCGAGTGCAATGGTATGCACCTTGATCAATGGATCTCTATCACGTATAACTTCTGTTCGTCGCCACGTAACGTTTTCCAAAACTTCTTCACGCTTGAGCCACGGATTATGTTTACATTCCTCTAATTGCTATCCCGCTTACTCTAAGTTCCGATATTTAAAAGCTTCCTAATTTGCATCTTTCTTTCACACTTCACATCTTGGATTTGGTTGGAAAATAGTTGCCATTAATTCTGGCCCCAAAGAACCCAAAGGTCATGTTAAAGAAAAGACGCGTGAGCCCGTCACAAGGGACACACGAATTTTTTTTTTTTTAAAAAAAATGAAAGAATAACAATATTATTGAAAAGGGGTAGTTTCAGACCAAAAACCTTCAGAATTTATTTTAATCCTCTGACTGGAGCATCTGTCTCTTAGACGGAGATGACTTGCTTTGATGCCTGTAGAGATAACGCTGTGGTGTGATCTTTGGGGTGGGCTGACTTGACATCTTCAGTTGGACTCTACGCAGTGAAAGGATCATGTGGTGGTACTTAGCGATTTTTTTTCAACACACGGTATATGCATTTTTTTTATCTGTCATCGTCTATCACAAAGATATTCTTCCGTACGTATATTTTATGGCCCTGCCTCGCAGACGATTGTTCCTTATCATTGACAATATTTATTTTATAATGTGCATTTTTTAATTATTTATGATTATTATAAATGGCAACCATGAAAAAGAAGGAATTGCCGTCCCTACAAAAAGAAAAAAAGAAAAGTAAATAATAGAATGACGTCAAACATAAATGCGTCAAATGTGGAACTCCTATTTGCTTGGGACACACCAAAATAAAACATGTGACATTTGTATTCGATAAAAATGTTATGTTTACTGTTGTTCAAATAATTTTATGCTTTGTTAGTTTTACTTTTGTTCCTATAGTTTTTCGTTTTTGGTATTATTTTTAATTACTTTTACATGAATATAAATAATTTCTAATCAGTTTTTTTAAAAATACTAGTCACAATTCTAGTGATAAAAATATATTAATATAGTGTTCCTCATAAAGACTTAGATATTAAAAATTGTATTTTCGCTTATATATGTTTCATGTATTTAATTAAATTGTCTAATGTATATATCTTGAAAAAAATGTGCTTGATTTAACCCCATACAGCTTATTTGAGCCATTCTCAATTTCATGAGCCGTAAGGACGTTTAAAACAGTCCTTAAGGTAATCAAAAAAAATCTACGTACCCGTCAGTTAGATGGATGCTCATCAGAGCGGGGAAAAAATTGATGTTCCAGCCAGAGGGTTAAATACACTTAATTGAATCACAATAGCAAAATTATGGTGTAAAGAACACTCCTTCATGGCTATGTGTGCTGACTTTTCAAAGGGAATTCTCACGCGAGATTTTGGAATCAGATGGAGTTTATTTTAAAATATCTGGAAGAAAACAATGAACTGTCCAGTGCAGTAGCGCACACAAAAACTTTTCAAAGGGGGGTCCGGGATCGAAAGTCCACCATTTTGGTATCGTGCTCCAATACGCCGCCCAGCATATTCTTTTGATTGCGTCGATTTTCGGAAACAAAAACAATGCAAAATTAATTATTGAACAAATAATTAGCATTAATTAATAAAATTAATTATTAATAACAAATACATCTTTAAATTTTACGTAATATATACATAGGATTATAACCAATCGAAAAAAAATCAAGGAGTATGGGGGGGGGATCCGGACCCCTAGGACACTCCCTGTTTGCGGCACTGGTCTAGTGAGTACTTGCTACCAGTGGCACACACAAGGGGTCCTAGGGGTCCGAACCCCTCCCCAAAGCCCTTGATTTTTTTTCCGATTGATTACAATTCTAAGTATATAGTTCGTAAAATTTAATTAAATATTTGTTATTAATGAGAAAGAGAGATTAATTTTTTGTATTAATTAATGTAAATTATTTATTCAATAATTAGATTTTTACTGTTCTTTGTTCCTGAAAATCGATAAAATCCAAAGGAGCATGATACAAGAATGGTGGACTTTCGACCCTAGACGCCCTCCCCCTTGAAAAATTCCTGTGTGCGCTACTGCTTGCTACTGAAGAATAAAGATTGACCGTGGGATTTAGCTTATCTTACCAATATTTCATAGGATATTTAAATAATTTAAATTTAAGAATATAGGGAAAATAGTGTACATCTCTCCTACCTTAGTTGGTCATACATCTTCTTTTGCGAGCAAACTTTCGCTTATTTTTGTCTCAATTTTGGAGAAAAAAAGATTTATATATTTCACATTAATGTAGAACTATCTACCAAAGTTAATAATGCTCCGAGCTATGATATATTTAAAAATTTAATATCCATTTTGCAGGATTCATTCAGTGCTAGGTTGGATGATTTTCAAGATGAGAATATAATGCTGATCTTTTCCCCAATACTTTTCCAATTTCTCAGCAAGATGTTAATTGTTACTTACCTGAAATCCAAATCGAAATTATTGCATACAGCACCATACTACATTGAAAGGCAAATATGATGAACTTATTTCAACTGCAAATGATCCGAATTATATTGAATTTTGGAAATATGTACCAACAAGCAGTTTTCGAAATTTACACGATTTCGCTGTCAGATATTGTTTGACTGTCCGAGGTTTGGATCACAACATATGTTTATGAACAAATTCTTTCTATTAGGAACATATAATAACATCAAAATATAACTCAAAATTAAATGATATAAACTTCAAACAACATAATTCTGTTGGCATCATCAAACACTAATTCTAATATGATAAATGTGACTTGGTGAAAAAACCTTTAAATTCAAAAACCAATATTAAGCAAGTACTAACTGTTTAATAATTATTTAGAATTACAGTTTTCAAGTTACTCATTTTTATTTATATCTAACGTAACTGATTGAGTATGTGCCAACCTGTAGAAAGTTTATTACCAGTAAAGCATTAGGCATTTGTACTTTTTTGCTTATGTATTATATTATTTTTAAATTTCCACTACTCACACACCCATAGACTTATATAATAAATGTACTATTTAAGTACGAATCCCATAATAAGCTTTTACGTGACATTTTTTTTATCTTTCCACATTCATTTTTTATTGAAAAGTCGGAAGTGTCACGCTTGATTGTTTTTTATCAGATAATGGCACTCTTCCCCAAAAGGTTGACCACTTTTCTCCTAAGATTATTAATCCATAAGAAATAAATAATTATTGTTAGTAAAATTATTTATTTACTTCAACTTAAGCTTTAATAAACAAATTTCTAAGGGAAATTTAGAGATCCACATGTATTAATGTATTCTGGTAAAGAATTTTTTTTATTTATCAAAGGAATAAATTGAGATATTTTAGCTAAAATTTATTCTGTGTAAAGGTTGGGTTGGTAACATGTTAAACGGCTCATATTTATAGTTAAAATTAAATTGGAAGTCACTAAAAATATCTCATACATTTCTTGTACAAATTATGGACCTTTCTAGTCATACTAAAATTGATTTAAAATTGAGAACATTTCTGTATTGTATCCCCTGTTGGAGATTAGATACGCTACGTCTTTGATTGTCTCTATACCATGGACTTTTAACTCACAAAGGAGTCTCTACGCATGCACCATATATACTGAGTGTCTCTAATATACTATAGAGAATATTCGATAAGGTTCTGGGACCATAACTGGTCTTATTTCTGTCCATGAAGGCTACAACAGTAACCAAGGGGTGACAGATATGAACTCCTCACCAGCGTTGTTTTTGTCGAGTTGTGGGCTCGAATCCTGGTTCTACTGAAGATTTGAAATGTACTGGGACTGATGGTCGTTAGACGTTTCGACTCTCCAAGGCCTCACATTGGCCTCGTGTAAAGATTTGAAGAATGGAATTCCGGCTTATGTGTCTTCCTCGTTTATTCAGCGTGGCTCAAAATAACGAAGTACGTCCAACCATGGCCCATTTGTTTCTTATTTGCATCGCTTCAAATTAAAAGCTACTTCCAATTGTCTTTGTGGATCTGTTGGGGACGAAGACAATTATGTGTTTGCCTGTCCTCTGACTAAAGATTTCCATTTGGTTTCTCCATCTCAAAATGCTTAAAAAACCTGGTTCCAGTCTATCGTTAGAAATCCTTCCATTCACTCTAAACTAAAATCACGTATTAAAATTACTTCTACAATCCGGGATCAAATTCCTTAGTTGGGACAGGATCAGTAGTCTTTTGTGGTGACAGGCGCTTTTTTTTTTTTTTTGTTTATCTCCTTTCTCAAATGTTTTCTGCCTCCCCCCCTCTTTTTTTGTATGGTGCATTTATATTTTATATTTATATTGCTTTTGATGTATTTGCAAGAATGCTGGAATAATGTATATTATTTTTCCTTCTCTTGCCCTTTATGTTCTTTATTATTATTATCAGCTTTGTATGTGTGTACCTTTCAATAACATTTGTATTTCGTTTCATTTACCTTTACTTTGTAATATGTAAATTTAATGTGTGCTACCGTATAAAACATATACTATGATTTTGCTCTATAAAGATTCAACGCGGGGGTGGTAGAGTTTCCCGGGGAATCGTTTTGTAGGTCTAAGCCTCTTTCGAGTGAGCTCGGGTTCCCTTGGGCGAATGCCCAATTTCCACACCATTCCACAGCTTTGTATATCTTCAAAAAGTAATGTAAAAAAAATTTAAGTCAAAACATACTTAAGCCAACAAAGTAAATTTTTGTTTTAGTTACTTTTTATTAAATAGAGTTAAAATTATAATATAAATATGTATATACATAGGGCAGAATCACAATATTAAAAAAAATAGAAAGTGGTTTTTCAGTTTCCTTTTTATATATGGTGTTGGACTACTTTTGTTTGTTTGCTACTATTTATTCATTAATTAAATTGAATTATTCTAATAAAATAGCATAGTAAAAAACAAATCACATTCTCAGAAATTAGGCCATCCCAGGTGGGATTCGAACCCAAGAGCATTGGATTAGAAGTCCAACGCGCTATTCATTGTGCTACAAGGACACAACGAACGATTTTACTTTTTATATATGTTGTTAGACTATTATTTTTGTTTGTTACTATTTTTTCGTTTTTTAATTTAATTAATGAGTTAATATTTGAAAAATTTGTATTACAATCTACAAGTTTAAAAAAATGTATTTGAACTTGAATGGATGAATGGAAAGTATTTTATTAACGATTGAAAATTTGAACAGGATATATATATAGGGGAGAGTGAACTCATAGTAGAAAATGAAAAATCAGTCAGTCTATGGGGTTTTCTCCAACTGCTTGATTAAAAAGAAGTTTCTAACTAGTAATCTTTCCCTGCAACCTGAAGGAACGCTCGAAGTTCTAATCGACGAGTAAAAGTCACTTCAACATAATACCAAAGAAAATTCTTTTCACGCATTTTCACATTATAATAAAGAAATGAAAAAGTTGTAAAACGTTATTTTCTTACAGCTACCCGGGCGAAAAATTGGCATGCCATTTGCAACTCAAATGGCAAAAATAAGCTGTGTAAAACTGGGTTTTAATTAAAGCATTATTTTAACAAGAGCATTTAGTAGAACTTAAACATGAAAACTATCTAATGTATTCAAAAGTTTATTAATAATAATATGATATTTTGAAATCTAGCTCTTTTAAATCATCCGAAATATAAAATTTAACCATAGACCAAGTTTTCTTTCTTTCTTTTTTTTTTTTTTTTTTGTAATTTTAAGAAGGGATCATTTTTTAACCTTCAAAGATTATTCATTTAGTTTTTACTATTTCACTTTTTGACGGAGACCCGCCTTTAAAATTACTCTCAATAAAGACTTCTTTTATGATTACTTCCAATAGGTTACCTTTTTCCTGCCAGACATTTTTTAAATTAAATTTGAATATCTTTTACTATACTTGATAAAATTTTCACTTTAATTAACTTATGGAAAAATCTAGTAAACTACATTTGGTCTGAAATTAAGAAAGAGATCTGTGTTCTTGAAGTTTATGAAAAAGCAAATAATTTTTAATAATTAATAATTTAATAATAAATAATAATTTCCCTTAGAATATATTTCTTAAAGCCCTTATAAAAGTGAACATATAATTATTTTAAATACAAAAACCGGTGTACTTGAAAAATGTACTAACAAATGTGGTTGTTTTTGGAAGACTTGAAAAATCCACCAATATTCCTTCTTGCTTAGCAGTGTTGTAAATTTCAATCCTATAATATTAACAGTGCTTGAAAAAACTTTTGAAATGATCTTTTGTGTGACCACCCTGGAATTTACGAATATTTTAAAAACTTTTTCACCTGTATTCTCAAACGAATAAAAAGTACCAAATAATTTAATAAAAAAAAGAATTAAATGCTAAAAAAAGATGCATCACAAATCTGCCATGTTATTACAAATCTCTCTCTCTCTTCCCGCGTCTAATTTTCAGTTTATTCCCTCTTCTTAAGGGCAACGACCATTATCCGAATGGTACCCCCCCCTTATCCGGATTATAATTCCTAAAAAAGTTGTTCTCTTTTTAGTCTTTCCCCTCAAAGCAACCCCAGCACAACTGAACACCACCCACAATCCAACAAATCCGTCTCTCTTTGTATGCATAAAGCGATGACAATTCCTATGTCACGTGTACTCCCAAATTACTTTCTATTTCTCTGAAAAAGATGGCAAACCGTTCGTGTTTTCTTTCACTCTAATTGAATCAACGAGTTTCGAAAGGGGGAGGGACGAAAAATTCATGACGACAGAAGGTTGGTTTGTACACAGTTTTTTTAAAAAAGATAATAATATGAAATTTATTTGCGGTAGTATTTTTTTAAAACCCTCTAGATGTTTTTCAAAAGGTATTTTGTTCCAATATCCACATAATTACACTAAATAAACATGAGTTTTTTGTGACGTAAAATTACGGTTTTTTTAAAATTATTCGTATGAAAGAATTTTACAGAAATTCTAAAAAAAAAAAAAACAATTTACCCTTTTGTTATTTGATTTCATATACTCTCGAGTCTACATTTAAATCCAATTTCTTTGCCAACCCTTTGACCGCCAATATGTCCTCGTGTTGTTTCGCAATATGATGTTAATACACAACATATACCACAGTACACAATAATATAATCATTGGCCAATGCAAATTCAATACAAGGTTGCGGCCGCGGGAGTCGAGTAGACATGGTTGAATTAATAGCCGGCGTTGTTTCTTTTGAGTCATGAGTTCGAGCTATGGTGTCGTGGCTGCGGTAGCCTAGTGGTCTAGGTCAGAGGTATCCAACCCGAATGACCCTGCTGGCCACTTTGGAAAAACATTATAATCTCGCGGGCTGCACATAAAAATATGTACCTTAATATCAGATTTGGAACCACAAAAAACATTTATTGGAGGGAAAATTTAAAACAGAATGAATCGTCATTATTGTTTTTATTATTTTTCATGTATACCCCCAGACATATAGATAACATAATAATGTTTATGTAATGCAATAATGCAATGATCAAATAATTTTTAAAATATTACAGTTGCCATTTTCTTAAATTACGGTGTTCCTTTTGAATTGATCTTTCGTTACTCATTGTTGAAATTTGATCGTGCTTTAATTCGCAAACGATTATGTATACATTGCCCTTTATCTTAACCGTCCTGAATATTTTTTTTTAACTTAAAGAAACATCTCTGACTGCCTCTTGCTTTTTGGACACTCCAAACAGAAAAGGAGGAGGAGAAATGAAAGTCTCACACACGAATCATGCGCCATCCATAGTAAAGGATATGCATAATGCAATTCGAAATTTATTTAAAAAGTAATTTTTTATAGTAAAATCAAATGTAACTGTTTGATAAAACATAAAACTATTTTAATCTAAAGGACATTTATATTATCAAAAAAGGATTTATTTTAAAACAAGAACTGGTAACAGGCAAATACATTGTGTATATATATATATATATATATATATATATATTTCCCCTCAAATAAGTTTCAAAATGAAAAAAACTTTACAAATCTGATATTTAAAAATTTTTTAAAAAGAGTCGGTGGCCCACAACTTACATACTGGCGGGCCACGTGTTGGACGCCCCCGTTCTAGGTAATGGAGTCGCTTCCTGCGTGTCGTGAGTTCGAGTCTCGTACCGGGTAAGACCCGTCGCGTAGAGGGGACCGATGCCGGTTAAATCTGTCTAAAGCTCACACGTCCTCGTGTTGGTGTGGTGCAGTAGATAGGAGAGGTGCAAGCTCAGGTGTCGTCATCGTTACTTGACCCATGGTTCAAAAGTACGAGGGCCGTCGCCAAAAGCCCTCAAGTAGCTGTCAAGTGTGACGTTAATATTCACTTACTCACTCGAGTTCTGATGTCCTTAAACCTGCGTTGAAGAGCTGATGCACCTTAAACCTACCGAGGCTCAAAGTTCTCCCATTGACGTGGTGCGGAAAATTAGATGTGGGATCACCATCTCCGATTGGGAATTACCAAAAAATTCCTTTCCCATTTTTCTATTCCTCGCTTCATATATGAATGAAAGCAATTTCCCCCAACTCATTTTTCTAAAGACATTTCTCTTGTTTATTTTTGAAAATTAATAATTAAATGCTTAGAATTACGGCCATTTTATTTCTCTAGGTGAGTTAGGCACCTGTTAAAACCAGTTCAAGGTCATTGATCACCATAAAATGTGTTAAAAGAGAGAATAATTTAGATTTTGTTCAGAAATATTTTAAAAAGTGGGACGAAAAAGAAGTCGAATCACAAAAGAAAAAGTTCGTTAAATAAAAAATGCAATTCGCGATTTTGAGGTTATTTAAGGATGAAAACGTAAAATGTTCTTTGTTCCAGGAAAAAGTTCGTAAAATAGGGAAATTCGTAAAATAAATATTCGTAAATTGGAAGTCCGACTGTATATAATATTTTTTATTATTTAAAACTGTCATTGTGTTTGAAGTAAATATGGACACTTTTTAGAAACAAAATAAATAAATAAGAGACCGGCTGTGTAAAGGGGCTCATACACACATTCAATTTGCTAGGCTGTGTGCATAGTGAAATGCCAGCTTGGGTCACCAATAGCCATTTTTTTGTTTCTAAGTGCGACGTTATTAATCAATACAGGAAACTATTGCCTGAAGTCTGAAAGAGACTATACTTTTTACTTCAGTTTTGTGCGAATCGTTTTCGATAAACCACATGCTCATGAAAAATGGCTATTATAATTAACGAAACTAATTAAAGTTAAAATAGAATATCGAAACTTTATTTTTAATAGAATATAGACAAAAATTTACACACTCAGATAAATTAATTTTATTTGTAAGACGTCAATTTCAGATTAAAAATACCGGGTGAGCAAAAAGTCCGTAAAAGCTTTTAAAAATTTATAAAAAGCGGAAAATTAAGCAAAATAAAAAAATGGCTTTCAGGTTTAGCATTGAAGTGTCACGGGTTTTCTTTTTACGATGAGTGAAAAAAATTCAAAAAACAGCCGATAGAGGGCGTTTTGTACGTAAGTGGAAAAAAAGACACACAAACGACAGAAATAATATTACCAAATCATTTATTGTAGCAGTATGTGTTCCACACACATGTTTACCACTACAGGAAATAACACATTGCAGGCGTGTCACAAATTCAGCAACGGCAGAGTGTAGAACGTCCGGCCGTATACGTAGTACTTCTCAGCGGATTACATCTTTCAATTCCGATAGATTGAATGGACGGGATCGATATACCTGAAATTTTAAATATCCCCACAGCCGAAAGTCTACTGGTATCAGATCTGGAGATCTAGGTGGCCATGATGGAAACTTGAAACGTTTGCTAATTGTTCTTTCTTCCCCGTACATCTGTTTCAAGAATTCCTTGACTGGATTAGTAGTGTGACTTCTTGCTCCATCTTGCATAAACGTAACAGTAGAAAGCACATCTTTTTCTCACAAACATGGGACAACCTTTAAGCGCAGATATGTTAAATAACTTTGAGCATTTACTGACACCGTTTTCCACCCATTTACTAGATAC